CCCTCGGCGCCCCACCGCCACCTCGGCTCGCTTCAGCGTCACTGCGGAGAAGCTGGACTCTGGAACGACATCGCGGTGGCATTTGCTGAAAATAAACTCAGTACTTACTTGGATTTGGTTTTTTGGGTTTTCACTGTCTTCACGTTCTTTGTTCATCCCACCAATTTTGAATAGCGTGGCACTAACAGACAAGTGATCTCGCTCCCTCCCATAAGGAAGAGTTCCATGTAGGAGGGGAGCCTGTGGGATCCTAGAGAAGTCCTCCTAAGTCACCCCGATTTTACCTTGTCGGCGAAAGACAGCTTGGCGCGCGTCTTCCACGTCTTCCTTTCTGGCCCGGAGATGCCCGTTTTCGAACTCTGTCCTTGGCGGTGAACTCTGCTACGAGAGCCCGACCTCAGCCCAGCTCTGGGCGCCGTGGGTAGAGGTGTGTGTCGTGAAGTTAACGGGCAGCGGAAGGAGACACCGACCAGCGAGGAGTCTGCCTGTCCTGGGTCACCTGTGAGTTAGGGAGGTGCCCAGGCCAGTACCAGGAACAACAAGCATGTATGGAGGCGGCTCACTGATTTCCATCACTGCCTGGCTCCTCGGTGGGCGCACACGCGGTCACAGGGGAATAGTTTCACGGGCCACAGCTCAAAGGGAAGAGAAGGGGCAGCCCTGGCCCGTGTGGCTCCATTGGCTGGAGCATCATCCCATACACGGAAAGGTTGTGGGTTCGATTGCCAGTCAGGGCACATTCCTAGGTTTCAGGTTCAATTCCTGGTCAGGGCATGTGCAGAAGGCAACCAATTCATGTTCTCTCTCGCGTTGATATTTCTCTCTCTCTCTCTCTCTCTCTCTCTCTCTGTCTCCCCCTTTTCCTCCCTCTAAAATCAATAAGCAAATCCTCAGGTGAGGACCAAAATAAATAAATAAATGAAAGAAAATAAAACAAAAGGAAGCGAAAGGCAAACATTGATTTTTCTTGACAATTTAAAATATTTTATTGTTATCAGAACCAAAGTATCAACTCAAAGTACAATTCAAAGGTGACGGTGCCCATGAGCAATAGCCACCGCAGCAGGGAAATGCGATAAGGCAGGCAAAGGGGTGAGTGCGCGGGCGTCCCGGGAGACGGACACTCCAGCCACTCTGAGGGGCCCTCGGGCTCAGGGAGCTTCTGGTGAGATCAGCACACCCGCACACACCGCGCACACATCCGCACACAGCGCGCACACACCCCGCACTCCGCCTGGTACACACACCGTGCACTCCGCCCTGTGTGCACACACACCGCGCACACACTGTGCACACACCGTGCACACACCGTGCACACACCGCACACACACCAGCACACACCACGCACACACCGCGCACTCTGCCCGGTGCACAGAGGCGCCGTCTTCCCTTCCCTCTGGTGCCACGCGCCTGCCCACACAGAAGAACTCGTCAAAAAGTCCTGCAGAAAGGTAGATGCCGGCTCTGAAAACGCACCAGATGCGCATGTAAAGCAGGTCAGGAAAAGCTGGCAGGTTTGTAGTCAACTCATTTCAAAAGTCGCGGTAACAAAAGAGGAAGATCCAATCCCTGTTAGTAGCTCTAACGTGCTTGTCCCGTCCCTGCGAATTCTTCCGAGCACGGAGATCACTGACCCGTCCTTTCCGTTAAAATGTGAGCTACTTCCCAAAACGAGTGCAACGTGTCCAGACGGAACGAGAACTGTCCACGTGTCTCACTCCTGACCGTGGGCACCGCCGCAGACCTGACCTCACAGATATAAGATAAACAGCCCTTTGTGGTTCCAACCTTACGACCCAGGACACCCTAACCCACGGGTTTGGTTCAGTCACGGACACATGGCTCTAATGTCAAGTCATCGCAGGACCAGCCAGATGTCATAGGAAAGAGCCGGGTCACCAGGCCTCACAGATTCGTGCTGATCTGTGGGGCGAGACCCAAGCAACCCCAGCGGGGCTCGCAGATCCAGGCGAGGAGAGAAAGCGCAGGCTCCGTCCGGATGTCCCGTGTCTTCATTGCAGAGTCCCCGGATCGTCATCCTCCCAGGAACCCTCAGGACACACGTTCCTGAGCCTCGGTTCCTGATGACCCGAGTTCTGTCCACATTCCCCAGGTCCCTGGTTGCTCACCCCGTTCCCGATGGAGCCACGGTGAGCACTGGGCGGGGCTTCTTGTCCCTGTCACCCACGGGTCAGAGACGTGTCCAGCATCAGGACAAACCTCCTCCAGCATCACGGTACGATGCTCGGGGTCGGGTGCATGTCTTTGTAAAGAGTTAAAAGCAGCTGGGCTGCCCGGCGCAACGGGCTGACACGGGCACCGGTGTCTGCGGGGCACGTCGCTCCGGCCTCAGCCTGCGCCGCTCCATGGTCTCGGCAGGCGCCTCACAGGGGAGCACCGGGAACCGGGGCCTTCTGCTTCCTGCCACACTTGTAGGAGGGCGGGCTGACAAACAAAGGAGAGAAGAGAGAGGCTTTACCAAAGGCTGAACGGCTAGCAGCAGGAAGCCTGCTGGGACTCGCTCAGCATCCTGGCTGGTTTCACACACACACACACACACACACCTGTGCACACACACACACACACACACACACATGGCTTCTCCTGAACACCCTGCTCAGAGCAACGGAGGCCCCTCTCTAGGCCTCGTCCCGCCTGCCTCCAGACCCTCGAACGGCACGTGCATCCTTCATGCATGTCCAGGAGTGACGCGTGGTTTGGGAAGGAGCTGATATGTGAGCAAAAGAGCAGCGTGAATGGCCTGAGGCTTCCCTCCTGTTAGAAGGGAAATGCCATCAGGTCTCAGTAAGTCGGTGCGAAGTGGTTGTTTTCCAGAGTAAACAGCTGTGGAACGCAGTGACAGTGCCTCCCTTATGAAACTGCAAGTCACACTTTGACGACATTTTTTTCAAGGGGAGAGACAAGGCACCCTATCTAATAAAGGGGAATATGCTAATTGACCCTCACACCATCGCAAAGATGGCGGCACCTACAGCCAATAAGGAGGGAATCTGTTAATTGACTGCCCTGCCCTCAAAGATGGTGGTGCCCAGTCCCCTCAGTCCCTCTGAGGCGGCAGGCGCACGGCAAGGCTGGGCCCACCCCCAGGTGGGCCTGGCTGCTCCGTGTGCCTGCCTCCAGAGACCCCTAGTCCCCTCAGCCCCCCAGCCCCCCAGGGCCGGCCTGAGGCGCAGGTAACCAGACAGTGGCAGCAGCAGAGGTGTGATGGGGCGTCACCTTCCCCTGATCACCAGGTCGCCTCCTGCCTCGAGGGCTCCTGGACTGTGAGAGGGGGAAGGCCAGGCTGAGGGACCCCCCTCCAGTGCATGAATTTTCATGCACCGGACCTCTAGTAATTAATAATTTATCAAAATTTTTGTTATGAAAAGTTACAAACATAGAAACAATGTATGTGAGTTGAATTCCTGTTGTTCCATTTCTTCCCGTTCCTCTAGTGCTTGGAGGCTCATTTTCCCGGCACCCCACCCCGATGCCCTGTGCTCCCCGGAACCCCGCTTCTCCCGCTGAGGTAAGGACTAACTGGGAGGCGAGTCCTGACCCCAAATGCCCACGTCCTCTGCTTTACCCTGAGGAGTTTGAGAATCTGATCCCTGATGGGCGAGTCTTGAGGTCAGGAAATCGCCTACCAAGTTAGTCATTAGAATGAAGCCACTGGGAGAGGTGGAACTTCGGGGAGCAGAGGGCATCAGGATGGGGTGCAGGAAAAACGAGCATCCAGACACTATAGGAACAGGAAGAACTGGAGCAGAAAAAGGAGCAGAATCAACCAGAAGAATGCTGTGCCCTTGGATCACTGGCACCGAGGGGTCATGGGGGAGGAACTGCACCCAGACTGGGTGGGGGTCCAGGAGCCCCCACATGCAGCCCATGCCCCCAGCAGCCAGCACTAACTCCTGCCTCTGACCCTGGGATCCAGCTGGGGTGCTCTCCTGGGTACCCCAGCCCAGCAGCCCTTCAGGCACATCAGCCCATGAGAGCTACCCCTCACGTCTGAGCTTCTCATTGTAAGACAGTCCTAGCTCCGTCCCCACCGTGTCCCCTCATGGAAGCTTCCTGAATATTCTCCTTCCCCCCGATCTGCTAGCACTGCTGCGACTGGGGGACAGGACTCGGCACCCCCGACCCTGACCTGGCCCCGTACCCCGGTGGGAACCAAGAAATGGTCCGTGATGACAGAATTAGCAGAACTGTGTTTCTACTTCCTGTTGAAGCAAGACCTTCCCATGCGTGTGTGACGCTCCGGAGGGCTTCCCCCGGTTTTCACACCTTTTAAGTTTCTCTTCCTAATTTTCCTTTACGACATGGCAGGGCTTGAGGGGACTCTGCCCCCGCCCCCAAACTCCACCCTGTAGCATCGTCCCAGGTGACACGCAAGCAGAGCGGTGGGTGAGGAATAAGCCAGTGCCCGTCACTCCCAGACGAGCGTGAGCCTCTGTTTGGGCTACTTCAGGGGACAAGCGCGACAGCCCTCTGATCGGCCAGTCCGTCGGCAGTCAGCCCCGTGGACGGGGCTCGGGCCGCGGTGCGGGAAGCCTTTCTTAGGCTCTGGGAAGGTCAAGCAACCTGAGTTTTCAAAACAGCACCCAGAAACCGGACGAAAGCCCGGCCGGGGGGCTCAGTGGTTAAGCGTCGGCCTATGAACCAGGAGGTCACAGTTAGATGCCTGGTCGGGGCACATGCCCGGGGTGCGGGCTTGATCTCCAGTAGGAGGTGAGCAGGAGGCAGCCAGCCAATGATTCTCTCTCATCATCTCTCTCTTTCCTACTCCCTTCCTCTCTGAAATCAATAAAAATATATTTTTTTTTAAAA